GCAGATGTAGCTGAAAAGCACTGCACAATGTTATACAACGGTATTTCATAAACTGCTTTCTGTCCAGTTTTGTCCAGAGCACAAACTGATAATGTATCTATGAAACGGAATCCAATTGAACTACCTCTGCTGCTACTGAAACAAATCACACTTTCGTTGCCTGTACCTTTCAAAGATTAACGACATTTTTCAGTGGAAAGTCTCAGCTATGAATTTATTTCTAGACCTGGGAAAGAAGTTTCCTAAATGCAAAGTATATATTATCCCCTGTTTCCTTACCCCTAAACTCCAAAATGTCGTGGTTCGTTGATACAACTCCACAAGCAAACCAGCTGGGCTACCTACCGCGTGTAGTGCAGCATGCATATCGAAGCATAGATTTCAGTTACGTTTCTGTGAACATTCTTGTTCATCATCATTTAACTAGTGCTAGATTTCAGTTTCTAATAGGCTAGGACTAAACACAGAGAAATGTTAAATGTAAAATTCCAAGGGTCAGTTCTGTCTTAGACCCCCATGCCACCATCTGGCATCAAACTTTAGATGTTCCGGTAATAACTAAAAAAATCTCTTTATCATCTTTATCTTACGTCTTGTTGTCTGCCAAAGAAATAATTTTTATGAACACAGGATGGATGCTCTAGCCTTTTATTAACACCAGGCAAGCTAAGAGAAGGCTAAGAAGGTTTTATAAGAGAGCTATGACATTTACATCTGCTTTAAGATGGACGAAGAATGCGCTGTGCCCCCAAACTTAAGTTTTTAACTCCTATAACTAGCCTGCAGGCAAGGGACTATTTCACCCCCACCATGCCCACCCCAGCTTGCAGCATTCCAAAACTTATCATTGTTCTGGGTCACAGGCAGCCTAATGAGTCTGGACGCATGCATTCTAGGGCAGAGATGAATATCGCTTGCTGCATCACACCGTTAACTATGATCAATTTTACCTTTCTTTTCAGGGTTTACCAGATACTGGAGCTTTCAAGAGACTGAGCAAGCTTCTCCATCTGAACTCAACTGAATAAAATTTGAGGTTACTTTAAAAGTTCACATATGTGAATGGAATTCCTGTGAAGTTGTTTCATGGTGCTTTTATATAATCAGCTCTAAAGTTGCTTCACAGCCTTTAGTAAGTGAGAAATCACCTGAGCTTCACTGAATTAAAAAGCCAGATCAAATGCACTCTGGGGATGTAAGATGTCCTGAAAGGTAAGTTAAATACATTCAGTTTCTGGGACAATAAGAGTTTAAAAGAAATCCCAGTGAACCAAAAGGGGCGGGGAAAGTACACTTGGTCTGAGCAAAAAGCCCTGAGAATCTGCACGTGCCAACCGAAGGGATGTTGTCAGCTGTCACTCCTGTCCATTAACTGCTTCCATCAATCCCTCTTCTCTACAGCCTGGCCGCACACTTACACACCCTCTGCCACCCAGAGCTGGAATGGTCATTACCCTGGGGCCTGGTATTGCACAGACTTTTGGATACCAAAAAAGTCCAGCTTTTCACATAATTATATTCAATATATTCTATATTGCTGAATAACTGATTTAAAATTACAAATAACTAGGGAGATGGATATCACAAGCTCAGCCTGATGAGGACACATAAGGACTTTCCATGTGATCTACAAAAAAAATGGCTTTCAAGGCAGACTGAAGACCAACACTGTAACACCACTAAGGAAATCTCAGATTCAGACTTAAAGACCAAGTATGATGGTATGCCTGAATCGTAACCCCTCTGCAGGAAGGCACTAGTAGCTTAGCTATCCAAATTGTCACAGCAGCTAATGAAAGGGTCAGGAACACTGGCAAAGGGCTAGCAGCACACCTTTGGCTGCATGCCACGAGAAACCACAGGCAAGCTCAAGGCAAAGGCAGATGAGAAGCAATTTTGGGAGATGGTGAAAAGACAGTTCACCAGTTCAGCCCCAGTAAAGTCAGGATACCTGCCTCATGTCAGTGGTTCCTCCTCAGATGGAACAAAACAATTGACACGTACAGCAGCGGACACTAGTACTCACTAGGCCACCTAACTCCAGGAGAAAAATTCTTAAATGTTCAGGAGCACAAGAGCTAAGAAAGGCATAGCACCCTTTCGCTTGCCCCACCTGACAGCCATCAAAACCTTCACCAGCAGAGGAGAGAAGTATTACTCAAGTCAGTATGAGTGCGCTATCCTCTGAGAGACCATTCATTTAGAATACACTAGGAAGCAGGATTACACGTTTTCAGGTTGCTCTTTTGAGAAAAATGGAGAGAGAAACTGAGGGAGAAAAAAGAAAAAAAGAACAGAAAACAGCAAGCTGAGGGAGTGAAATGCTGGATAATTGTACCATGGCTTTTCTATGTTCATAACAACAGTGCAGAGAACGTGCTCTCATACCCCCCCTTTTCTAATAATATGTCAAGAATACATGCTGCAAGACAGAACAGTAATTTTGTATTAAATGTTTTAGATGACAATTTCACCATGTAACATAAAAGCTAAGGTTTGTGTGGTTTTATGCCATCCAACCAGCCACAACACAGGCATACTTGTATGGACAAAAAGCATCGGTACCGAAACATGCAAGCAACAAAAGATCCAACCAAACAACTCCTCTGATTTAATGAAAGCAAGTTTTTTTATTACAGACCACAAAGGTCAGAAATGCAACATGGGCAAGGTGGCACTCAACTTGCTGCAAAGAAAAGGCCCAACCTGCGGAAAGAGGGCAGTTCCCAGGATCCTGCTGTCATAGAAGCTGCAAAAGAAAGGACGGCTGCCGGGACAAGTTCCATCTGAAACTAAACCGGATGTGTTAGGGACTCTTATCGGATTAACTCAAATCAGACACAGATTATATTTGGAGTGGATTTTAAATAGGAGTTTGGGGGTTTTTTTCAGATTGCATTCAAGAAGCAAAGGTTTCCCATATGGGCAGAGAATTAAAATCCGTTATATAGAATTAGAGTAGTTTGGAAAAAAGTACAGTAGAAGTAACGCGCAATGGAGTTCTCACTATTTTACCAATTTACGTCATGCCCAAGACAATCTTCACCTTGCTACAGTATGACTGATAAAACAATTTTGTCTCTATGATGTGTTTATGTATTTTACTACTGGTGCATATACAGCTAATGCACTCCAGTGAGCATATTAACGAAGGTGGCATGTGAATATTTCATGCAAATCCAAGTCCACGAAGAATAAACTTCATTAGCTACTACTCAGCATCCTTGCCATCTCCAGAATTATGTGTTACAACTTAAAATGGCAAGTTGCTATCTCAATATGCTAAAGATAAATAATTATTTCTTCTTTGAACTACGCAATATATAAAGTTTTCCAATGTCACCATCTCCCAGTTGAGTGTCACTGACTACGAGAATTAAACAACATAATTTACCACCTCAGACAACACAATGGTATCAAATGGAAGTAGGACTGCCAGTATCGTATACATGCCCAGCACTGATGGATTTAATTTTTCAATAGGTAATTATTAGGGAGAAGATGAGGAGAAGAGTTTCTCGTAGACAAAACTAAGGCAGTAAAGAACAAATTTGATATGAATGAAATTCAAACAAAAGTAGAAATTTAAGGTAAGTTTGCCTATGTTTAATTTATACCGTCAATGACTAGCTCTTCTATCCTTCAGGACAGATCACTATAATCTAAAGAGACCTCTTGACAGAAACAGAACTATGGTTGGAAGTGCAGCTCTAAGTACAACTGGCTTAAGCACAGTTTTTAATTAACAGATATAGGCTTGTTAAATCTTGAGAAATCACTCTGCTATTAGTGCACAGGGGTCTTTAGTACTTGTTCTATACAGCAGACAGGACTATAGGTATGGGTATCAGATTTACTCTTAGTAATCTCAGTAATCACGTATGACAGTATCACATTTATATTTAGGAACAGATAACCCAAGAGTAACACAACCCCACTGTCTCACTCGATGTCCCCTGTGCTGAGATGCCCTACACCTCAATCTTTCTCCCACATACAGAATTGAAGTGGAGGGCCTGGTACCGTTCTGCTTCCCCTCGTCCCACTCCAGCAGCTGGGCTGGGCTGCGGCTGCCTGGAGGCAGGCGCTTAAAGGAGCTGGAAGCCCCCGTGCTGACACACTGCAATGCAGAGCAGCTCCTTCCTCTGCTGTGGATCAACTTAGGTACTACCGGTTGTATGCTGATCATCTTATCTGAGAGTCTGGAAACACTTGTTTTACAGACAGGGATAATAATATAGCAATGTTTCAGACCTCTGACCCTGGTTCCCTGTATGTGCACTCACGATGAGCAAAGAAACGTTATTTAAAAAAAATAAATCAAATCTACCTCTTCGCCACAGCCCACTTGAAGAAAAACAGAGCACTTATCCTTCCATTACCTTTTTTAATACTCATCATCTGATGCAGCGATAGTCATGATCTAACACTAGGACGACACTTGTTTTAGTGCAAGATTTCAATGGTACAGAGTGACCATCCTTTAGAGTGCAAGCTCTTTACAACCACTTCTTTCTACCTGTTTTATATCTCCTGTGAGACCTAGTCAGACCTACTACCAAAGACAGAAGCATAGCCCTAAGAGCATGGCACAGTGCCTGCACTACTCGGAGGAAATCACCTAAGACTGCACCCACAGCACATGAAGATGACAGGTAAATACCATTACACAGCCAGAAGGCTGACAGTTGACAATACAATAAACTTTTACAGTTATAATAACGAAGGCCATTTCTGACCTAGCTGTGTCCCTTTATAGCTTTGTTTTTGTTTGATAAACAGCTACTTACCACCTGCAGTAGCCCAGTAAAAACCTGAACCTATTATTTAATAAATAATATTAATTATCTACATGGAAAATGTAAACACATTAGAATTCATTTATACTGGAAAATGTGACATAAAAGCCAATTCCACCAGACCACATAGATTTGCAACAGCAAAAAAAATTCTATACTTTCCCTTTGTTTAATAAAGGCTTCCCAAATGCAGTAGCTTACCTGATCTTGTAGAGACATAACAGGATTATTTTTGGTTGTATTGATATGTAGAACATGATATTTGTTCTTCGCACAAAGATCATAGGCAATATTTGTGAAGGACGTGCTGGCAGTCTTAGGTACTCTGTTGTAAATAATCACCACATCATCTTCTTCATCGAGTGTCACATCTAGTCGAGGGCCATCTACTGTGTGCCGTTGTTCTATTTCTCTGACTTCATGTCTCGCAATAGCCCTTTCTGTTAAGGATGATAAACACAAAATTTCAATGTAAGTATCAATTTTGAAGTTCAAAGCATAGAATGCAAATAACCTGGTGAAAAGCAATTACTCCTTAGCAATAAGGAAAACACTGTCATATATATTTCTGACACATCTGAAGCAAATTTAATCTATAAAATGTATGAATAATAAAAAGTGAGTTAGTCTGACACAGAACACAAAGACTAGAAAACAGTATGCTTAGAGAACACATACCATAATCTACGACTCACACTAATGATGCTGAAAGCCACTGTCTCTAAAGAAAAATGTCTATAATGCACTATAAAAATGGTGACATCCCCCAAATATCTGAAATAATTTCCATAAAATATCTATTAAAAATTATAATAAAAGGAATAACGCAAACTATTTGAAGAATAAAATTTTTCTGAAAACAGTAGAAATACTAACACTAGAGATTTAGTCAATTAGCTGTGTAGAGGCACTGGAGTTCAGATGAAACCACTGTTTTGCTATTTCAATTGATACGAGCCCCAAGTGTTAAGCATTGCAATAAATGGCTTTGCAAAATTTCAGTTAGATCTATTAATTTCAAGTTTGACAAGAATAGAAGCAAGAAGTGCTTATGAAACAGTTAACAAGAAGGTGAAGACTGATTTCTGAGCATTGAAATGCATCAAATACATCAAATGAAAGAAACATGGACAAGCAAGCCATGAACAAGACATTTTGGCAAGGTGAGTACACTGCAAATAAACTGTTTTTCCTTTTATACAAAGGGCAATACACTGAGTAATTGAACTCTGCTTCGAGTGCTAGAAGCCTACTTGGAAAATAAACTCCACAGTATTGGAGCATTTTCTTAATTTTTTTTCTTGTGTTTTTTTTTCCTGTGCTGATTTAGACACAGCTTTGTTCTGTTCTAGATAAGTATATACTTTAATGTGATTTGTAATATAGATGTCAAAGCATCTGTTCTGAGTCATTTTTTGTGATATTGTCTCTAATAATGCATTCAAAGAAACCTGTGTTGGCCAAGAGTGCAAGCTGAAGTTGGTACCACAAGAGTAACAGAGTAACCCATAATTCTCTGCATTATGTTCTTACACAGCTCAATCTGAGCTTTTAGTAGCAGCAGCTCTTGGCCTTTACTTCCCCCTTGCTCCTTGTAACGCAGCTCCTACTAGTCTCTTTCACCATATCTCTTTAATTATAACATAAAATCACTTTTAAAGCAGAATCATTAAGCTGTGAACACCACTAGCCAGTAATTCCACATAAATTGTCTTCAACCACAAACTTCCATCTGTCTGAAATGCCTCAAAAGCTTAAACTCACTCACTCTCTCATATGCTCGTATCTCACACCCCATAACTAAGTTACACCAGTATGAAAATGTTTGTAGAAAATGCTTATTGAGTATATCTCAATTTTCCACATGACATCTGCTGCTCTCCACTACATCAGTCACAGTTTTTGCTCCTTCCTTTCTCATTTGCTACCTCTCCCATCACTGCTGGCAAACGTCCTATTTTGGAAAGAGATGAGGCACCAGACGCAGGTTTCATCCAGCTGAAGATGGTTACAACAAAAAGGGACTGGCAACCCTCCCCGTCCTGCCAGTAACTGATTAGAGAAGGCATTTGGTAGGGGACATAGTTAACCACACGACTGCCCAAGGCTACATGGATACTGAATACCACCTAGAGAGGCTGAAATGATACAGATTTAATTTATATTTTCTACACCAGAGCAGTAGATCTCAGCTAGATTTGAACCATAACTGCACAGAACTCCAGGGCTGACGAGGCTGGCTGGTGCGGAGGGAAGCTTCCTCTTTCACACGTAAGAAGGAAACATTTGTGAGAAGCAAACATCATTTGCGAGAGAGGGGCGAGTGATGAGAAGAGCTCCTCTAATGAGGTATTTGAAACCATGATGATTCAAGAATTAGCTTGATAAGTACACTTTAAAGGCTATGCATAGGACATAAAAGATGTACGATGAGATGCAATTAGCAGAAAGGCTACTGCATACAACCACCTTCAACTTCGTGGTGAGAGGGGAAAGCAAGACCCCATGTGAGGAGGAGAACCTTCACAAGCGTGAAGTACACAGACAGTTCTCTTATCAAAGAATAAGGAGGCTGTAAATTTCAAATTAAAATGACAACTAATTTTTATGATGCAGAACTGAAATCACCTTTCTGAAAAAACTGCAATAGTTAAAAAGCAAAAGCTGAGATGAAGTGCAGGATATAAACTGCTGAAGCACAAGGGAAGCTAAAGCTAATGAGAAGCGGATGAAGCAGCTCGAAGAGTCGAACCCGGTCAGCATCTGAGCAGCCTATCTAATTGTAGTCTATTCAGAACCCAACCAGGAACATTGTACCTTTTGTAAAAGTGCACATTTTTTTTCCCAGTCATGAAGAGTCTGCAGTTTTTCCTGTGAAGTCAGGAAGCTTCTTTGTAACTTTCTGAGAAGTCAGTTTAACTCATAAAATGGCATGTCATTTGATCCACATGGATTTTATTATTTATTTATTTATTTGGGATGGGAGAAGACGTCCAGTAACATGCAAGTGAGAATAGTCTTTGTGATAACTAGTTAATCAGAATTTAGAGAATTTGAGGGGCCAACGGGTATTTGATTAACTACTTCATTTGTTCTTCTATAAAATCTAAACAATCTTAGAAGTAAAAGTCCTGTAATAGTTGAACGCTGCTTCTATGTTATTAGAAGTAGAGTAGAAAATGCAATGTATGTTTTAATGACTTCTTACATGTGGAAGACGGGGAAAAAGAAGATGCTAGGTATTTATTTAAAGTGTATTTTGTACCAAAATTCTCCTTAGATGACAGCCCTGACAATTTGACTATAAGAACACAGAAATCAATTAAAAAACTCAAACAGATTAGAACATTTCTGTTGGAATATTGCTGTTCTACAGTCTCACTGTTTTGATCACATTCTATGTGAACTTGATTTTGTTAGGAAAAAAAAAAAACAAGGCAAAAGTATTAGGAGCCCAAGTGTCTAAACTGAGTTAAGACTGTCCACACTCAGTTTGACACTAATCATCTACATCGATTTAAATAGATAAACTGCATTTAAACAAGTGGTGCTTTGAATACAAGACAGAGTTGCATAGTGATATAACACAGGATAATTTTAAGGCATAAAGTATTGTGTCTCACAGTTTTTTATTACTGCCCATTTGTGTTCACTGTAATAAATAATATAATTACTATGCAGTTGGGGAAAATGCTGCTCTGTCATCTGCAGTTGCCCTACGTGCAAACTTCCATCAACTGCAAGGACAGTTTGCACACAGGCAGTACCACATACAAGCGGTGTAATACAGGTTGCTACACTGGTTGTTTACCAGCAGATGAATTACTTACACAAAGTCTTTGGTTGGCAGAAGCAGCTGCTTTGTAAACAACAGCGGAAGCTTATTTTCTCGCGTATTTGTCTACATGTTCTTTGTAACCCTCCTTTATCCTATTTCTGTAACTGTCAGCATCTTTTCATGATTTACATTTCTTGAGCCATCCTCTTGTAGCAATAAACTCCAAAATATCACAGCTAGAAACAAGTTGGTTTGCACGTCAGATGCTACCAGAAGATAACATATAATGGGCATTCACGTCTTCTCCTTGGCAAATGCACTAACGCCAACATTTAATACATATGCCACCACTGGTTATAGATAACTTCAACATTATTCACCTTCAAGATCATTGCCCTCTGAAGTCAAAGCAGTCTTGTCAACAGGTTTAGAAGTTATTAACAGGAAAAGTAACACTTGGAGAGAAATGTGCAGACCAAGTTTGATTGCTTAGCCCTATTTTGTTAGATTCTCAACTAATAAAGTCACCTGTGAAAACGCAACTGGCCTATACACACCTGTAAAAATATTTGAAAACCCAACTGAACAATTGTTACGTAATTATAGAAACAAATCGCCCAACTGAACAATATTTAAATAATTACAGAAACAAATCATTGTGATCATAAGCCGTTATTTGTCTACATTCCCTGCACATTTAAACAAATTAATGTCTTCAGGAAAACAAGTTTATTAGCATTTACTTCAAATCCAAGTCTTAACAACACACAAAACATTATCTTCCCAATAAGATAGAGTGGCATGGATTTTAACACTTTAAAAGTTAACAAAACCAAACATTTGAAATCTCTCTCATCTTTCAAAAAAGCATGAGAACCTCCTGGAATTTCTTAATAAGAAAAATCTTCTTTCCCTGATAGTTGAGTGTTCTTGATGAAGCCTCCCTGGCTGTCAAAGTCAAGTTAACTGAGAATCTGGAAGGATAGTTCGGAGCATATCACTCCACCAAGCAACGCTCTCTGTCCTCTGTATCTATTTTCCTTCTGTATGTATCTACCTACAAATACTATTTAGGCTCTCTCTTCAATATGTTTTAGATGCCTGCCATGCCTCTTTGTGAAACCTCCCCCTCAGATGAGGAAAGGCTCAGTTTTAAAATAAATTTTAGCTCAGCAGCGTTCAGAAGCATTGCCCAACAGAAGCGAAAGACGTGGATCCAAGTGCACTTACACTGACTTGATGCAAAGGAACTGGACAGCTAGTATCAACAGCACCACTCCGAGCAAGCACTCGCTCTGTAGCTCTGATACTGGATGCCACTTCAAACCAGTAAGCAGGTTTCTTCCAGTTGGGAACAATACTGAAGCCAGCTGACTTGGTGCCTCAGCTTTCTCTCCACTGTGCTCCCAGGCCAATTAGGCAAGCAGCTGGTAGCCCGAGGCACTGAGCAGCTCTCAAGCTGTTTCCCTGCCCAAAAGCTGCATTAAACACGACTGGCCTAAATACTGAACCCAAGCATGACGAAAACCTACTCACTATTGACTCCATTCTCCTCTGATGAGGAATGAAAACTGAACAGCAGCTTAAAAATAAACCATAATTATGTAGCAAAGTTAATGTCCTGATTCATTTTCAAATTATATACACCCACCATACACACATAGCCTTCATCCTTCACTGAAATGCAGCCTCCTCTGGGAGCTGTTTAGCAGCACACTAGCCATAAACCAGCGAGAGCAGTGCTGCTGTATGCGAGTATCAGTACTTCAGGGATGGAGAGGAGAAGAGAAAGAATCAATGGTGCTATGACAATTCACGGCCAGGGAGGATTTGTGTCACACACCCAATTAAAACTGCAGGAAAAATACAGACTGAATTAACAAAAAGTGCCTCAAGGTAAATTTGCCAAGGTATCAGTACTAACATGCCAACTCTTTCAAAGACCTTCAACAATAACAACTCCATCCTGCTCTAGTTTTAAGCCTTACTAACAGCAGAACCACTATCTTGGTTCTTCAGCAACTTCATGACTTAAAGACCAACTCACATTGTGGGCAAGCCTTTGGTTTCTCCTACTTTCTTTTCCCCTGTGAAAATATTCCATGAAGCCTGTTGTGTCTTTATTGCTGATTAATGAATGTTTACTACTCTGAAAGGCAATTCTGGGTGAGGTATTTGGTGGGGTGAAGGGGTGTGCACAGGGGAGTGTCAGTAAAGTGCATCGAACTGCTTCCCTGCTCTGCTACCTACAGTGCTCTTAAAAGCAGTGCACGGGACCGGAGGTTCTCTCAAGTGTGACTCCTTATGACTATGTCTAAGTGACTCTTATTAAAATCATAATTAACGATTCTGTTTCTCCATTAGCATATGTAAAAACACATATTACAATCAGCATCAAGAAACAAGGAAAGCAAAATGCTGGCTGTTTAACAGACACAGAAACTGCTAGCCTTGCAAGGCCTCTGTTAATCAGAGCTGAGTGAATTTCCACTGGTAAAGCAAATACAACCTAGCGTGAAACTATACAACACAGGCACATTCACCTCCACCAAGCTTTTCTTAAAAAAAAATAATAAAAGGATTGCTAAGAAACAAACCCGGCATTTTAGTGAAGTTTTTTCAGTCAGGAAGAAAACCTGAGACTGGCGAGAATGTTGGTGCTCAGCAGCAGAGCAGGCTCCACCGTCCTGTTGCATCCCGGCTCCCTGCACACACCTACTGCCAATCGCTTCCCATCTGCAGGAATTCAGGTTAACAACGATAGCAAGGAGAAGCATACTCTGAAGAGTACGAAAGACTACATGATGGCCTTTTTTTGATACAGGACCAGACATACCATGTGCGTACTATAAAACCAATTGTGTTTTAGTTACCTAAGACCTAGGACAGGTAAGGGCCTACATCTGAAGCTCTCCCAGGAAGGGCAAAACTAAACAAACCCCCATGAAAAGTCACAGATCAGTTGAACTGCATTTATCGAGCAAAGCTTACGCACCCTGACAAGCATACTTACTTCTGGAAATAATATGGCTTATAGCAGACACTTTTGTGTAATAACATCTAATAAAACAGAAAAAGGAGGTTTCATTCCACCAAATATGAAATTTTGAAAAATTTGCAAATACTTGAAAAGGGGCATCCTAAACCCCCATCTTCAGCTGTATCTATAGCATCACTACTACAACTCTTGAATATTGCAAATAATAGCAATTACAAAGTTACATAAAAATTTACAGAAATATTTTAAATAACACGGTATAGTAGTAAGACTTAAAAATACAGGTCTTCAGGGTTAGCAAGAAAAGTTAATGGAACTGTTTCATACACGGATACAGCTGTCACAAGTGTCCAAGTATTCAAATGTGCATGTCACTCCTTGAAGCAAAATTCAATTCAAATAATCAAAGCAAGTAAGCTCAATATATATCATCTGACTCCATTTAGGAAGGCAGCCTGGAGGCAGTTCTGTTATTTTACATAAGTTTTATCCCGATATACGATCATTTACTTTTTCTAAAACGGTACTGGCTAGCATAAAGACAAAAAGGATGACTCAACTGTCTGATAAAATCACCGACAGACCTGTATATATGGACAATGCTGTAACACAGTAAGTCACCACGACATTTAACGAAAGTAACTGGTAAGATACACTTATTTCCAACATACTACACTTATATCCCTGCTTGTCTTCACACTTCCTGGCTAGACTAACGTAATCTGGAAAACAAACTACTGCCAGCTAGACCAAGCCAGCAAACCCAACGCCTTGTGATTGGAATGGCAACTGACGTCGTTAAGGTAGAAGATCTAAATATTTTATTAGGAATCTTAGGAAGTCAGAGTACTAGAATAAGCTTATGATAACTCTATGTAGTACCAACAGATGCAGCACGATACTTGCTTAATTAACATTGGCTGTGAACAGACTAAGCATTTACAGTGATAAACGTGATTTCTAACCTTAATGTAGTTATAGAAGGTTGCGTAAAGTCCTTTGAAAAAGCAGAAATTAGTCTGCATGCTGAATGAGCCCCACTGTTGTTAAGTCGCAACAGAATTAATCACTTTTTAAAAATACTGATTAGGATAAGCTCTTGATTATATTTATTGTTTTCTTTGTGAACACTATTTATCTTGCTCTTAGCTTCATTTTAAGGACTTCAATTTAATTACATATCCTGGTTGCTTTATACATAAATCAAATGTATCTCTCATTTTTCCCAAAACACTGCCAATTCTTAATTGAGAGATCTGCTAGCTCATGTAGCTTAAATATCAGCATATCTAAAAAAATACTGCTTTTATATTAATCTTAGGCTTGCAGCCTGAAGACTTCATCTGAGATCGAGATGAAAAATAAAATAAGCATGAATACAGATATGTTCTAACAACACACAGACCACTCTAAAATTACATTTCAGGAACATCAAAGCTATTTTAAAGTACAAGAAAAACTCTGTTTTAATTAAATGCTAAAACTACAACAAACACTGAATTAAATTCTTTTTAAACTACCTCTGGAAAACTCTTCCTTCTATATCCCACACTTCTTCACATCTGGGGGCCCGAGCTATACTCAAGCAGAACTAGGAAAACAAATGCATGTGGTATCAACCTGGCTCCCTTCTGAATAAAATAATTACCTGCCTTAAAGGTAGCCTTTCCCCTCTGACTTTCAGAGGATTAGAAGTAGCAGTGGCCCAGTGAGTTCAAGAAGTCAGTAGAGGGAGTATCACAAGGGAAAGCTTGTAAGTCTTTGCAACACATTCCCTATCCTGCAAGTTCAACTGGGCTTTCATGAGAAAAATCCAGATGAAATCCCCAGGCTTAGTCTGAAGTCATGCATTAGGGAAGACTTGTGACACAACTAGCCAGCTAAGGCAAACCTCCCACGTTCATCCTCTCCACGCTCAGAAACAGCAGCAGTCATACTCAGTTCAAACACGCTTGCATACCAACACCACCGCTATAAAACCTCTTTGCAGCAGAAACTGATGAGCAAAATCAAAATTATACAAGCAGGAGCTTGATCTGATTTCGCACCAGTGTGATATGGAGCTCCTTGTCCTTGGTAAAATCAGAAATGGTCCCACATTGCTAAGGTGTGCAGCAAGGTGGTTTTGTACAAAAAACTTCCCACTGGTAGCTGAGCCAGATGTTCACTGAAAGCCTCTGGGTGTTAATCCTGATTTAGGTGGGATTAAGCTTTTTAATTAAAAAGAATTCTTTTCCTACACGCATGAGAAATACTGTGTTTTCCTCCCAAATCAGTCCTTTTTTGACGAAAACTTGACCAGGGCAAAAGGGCAAGCAATTCCCTCACTGCATCTTAGTGAGCTGCTGCAAAAAAAGTAAAACCTCCAGCCCCTTCGGCCCCACAGCACTAAGGGATACAATAGGTTTGTATCCATCAATGTCTAACAATACTTCCTGACTGAAATACACCGTAATTATTCATTGTCAGAAGGTACATACATCACCACTGAACCTACTGGAAGTCAGAACTGCAGGAAGTTATGCTGGACAATACAATGCCACCGAAATAAAAGTAAAAAAGAATTCCTACAGATATCTCCCAGTACGATCAGAGAAAGAAGGAATCAAAATTCTCTTTTGAGTATTTCAAATTCATTAAAATGTTCACTTTATGACAGCCCCCAGAACAATGAGAAAGTTAATTTAGCTTTACACATCGTTATAGAATTGCACAGTATATAAAGAGCTGACTGGTCTTGAAAAAAACAAAACACCAAACCAACCACCAAAACCACCCCACATTCAGTCAGAGTATCTTTTGCAGACATTAAGACTTTAAATTGTCAGATTTTATTTTACACAAGCAAAGTAATCCGCTTCCAACAATAGTCAATAGCTCAAAATCTAGCATTAACCCATTTCTAATATGGCTGAAACCTGTAGAGCTCTGTAAAGGCATAATCCTTTTGCTGGCATTCAGAGAGAAAGCGTTTTGAACTGTCAGTACTGAGCCACGGAAGATATTTTAACTTGATTTTAAAAAATACATTACATAGCACAGATGAACAGCAATGCTAAAACCATGTTTTGAAACAAAGACTTGTTGAAACTGCGCGGCCCATGTGCCCAAAGAAAGGTGTGTGACACTGGGAACTCTGTGCTCTCGCCAGAGATGGAGATGCCTGTCTCAGCTCAGCTTCCCCCAGAGAAGCTGAACAGACAGAACACTTCCTTCCTACATCAGTATTAAAGCTACTAAAGTCATCTAAAACAAGCTTTCAACTCTCCATTCTTCACATCTCCATATGTGAACCCCAAATTTCCTGAGTTGCTTTTGGTTTAAGTCTCTAGTGACCACTGATGGTTTCCGCATATATATATTTTTAAATTTTTTTTAAAACCTACTTTGCAGTTTCACTACATTATCACCCTCAAATCATAGTGGTCTCGATAACTATTTTTGTGTATATTAACAGTAAGGTGGAAAACTTCATTTTTGTGTTAACAATCTGTAACTATGTAAGGATACATATAAATATTATTATCTGTTGGTAATTCAAATAAAACATGTACGGAAAAACACATAAGCTTTCCTTTACGCTATAAGAAGTGGAAGTTACCTCTCTGGAGTGTTAAATCAGAAAGATATTTTAATCCAAGCCATTACTCGGGGGGGGGGGGGCTTTTATAAACTTTTGTGGGAGGATATACCAATTGATAGATTTTTTTGTAAGAAATAGCTTATTTATCTGGGATCCTTCAAAGCAAAAAATAACACTGGCAAATTCTGTTTCCAGGGAGATGACATATTACCTTCCAGAAACATGTCACACACTGAAGTTATTCTTCAGACTGAGTGAGCAGAGGAAAACATGAAAAGGACGTCTTTAACATGACACAGCTTCTCTGGCAATATTGTTACATAAGGAATAAGACAGATAAAATAAAAATGAAGTAAAAATAAAAGGAACTTTGACTCCCAATCCTCAGCAAATTTAGTTGCAGTGGTTAGAAAGGGAAATACTCCTGTACCAACAGAGCTCTAAACACATCATATCATGGTAGGAACAATTCAGACACAGGTTTGAGCAGAAAAGAGGGAAGAAAAGCCAAGAGGCAAGAGTCCTTTCAAATACCACATGGTTCAAGGGAAGCTCCAGGATCCGTAAGTAACAGTGAGAACACGCATATTCCCACCCTTCATCTCCTCAGTCACTGCTCTAGGTCCACACCATCAACAATTCCCCGCAAGTCTCTTCACTGGACTTTTATTAAAGGAAGCAACAACACTGTGCTTTCTAAAAAGGCAACACAAGCAGCTGTGGAGGGGAAAAACAACGAAGGCTCCTGCATGAGGAGTTCAGTGAACTGGTACTTAGAAATAAACAACAGACGAACTCTTGCTGTTTGGTAACAAATACTTGACCAGCACAGTATGCCCACCATAGAACGGCAGCTGCATACTAGTCTTCTTCAGCTACATTATCTTCTTAACCTTTTAGGTTTTTTGCCACATCGCCTTCCTCTGAACCTTTCAGAGAGCTGCAGCCTCTCCTGACACCCTGCGAATAGTCAGATGCCTCTGCTCACAGTTTCCCATGAATCACATACACTTACAATGACTT